CAGGAATACACGTCACACATAGAAACAAACTAAATACCAAATCCTTTCTACTCTCTGAGACTGATTCGGGGACCTTTAAAAGTTGTTTCCTAGACTCTGCAGGTTCTTAAGTACTGTTCCCAAACCGTGGCTTCTGCATGCTGCTTCACCCTTTTCCCCTCAGCATCACATCTCTGTACAATTATGATTTTTTGTATATATATTTGTATTACTGTGCTGCCTAAAAGTGCACTGTAACACACACTTTAACTGATAGTGTGCAGTACAGATCTGCTTTGAATTCACTTTGTGTATGATAAAAGTGGAGCTAAAATAAATGGCTAAAATTGTGACCACTATATCAGTGTACACAAGGGATTTGTTACATGTTGATCTCTCCATTTCTGTGAAGCAACATCCCCACAGGGATGATCTTGACAGTGTAATATTTTAGTGTAGCCAAACTACTGTATTTTGTTTAAATGCATTGACTTTGGACTCTCCAGCCCACATACATACAGGCACACATTTAACTTTGCACTCATGAGCAGACTCATTAACAGCAACATATAATCATGCATTAAATTATGCACAATTTGGAACCAGTACAGGACTAGAGCATCACTGCTCTGAGTGTACAGTGACAGTGTAAAAACTGTATCTGTAAAAAGAATATAACATGTATGGAAAACCACAGTTCAATTTTAATACAGCAGACTACACACAATGAGAAGGCAAAAAATGACAGGCTCAAACATCTGCAAGGAGCAACATTGTTTTTACTCTAGTTACCAAACACGTTTCTAACTAACCACCCCTCTCACACACATGCACTTTTTCTCCTATTTTGGGGGGTCAGTATCTGTCCCTACAGTATTGCTTTGTAGCAACTAATGCAGCTTGTGGACCATGCGAGGACAGCAGAACTCCACAAGGCCTGAGGGAGCATGGTTGTTGGGTTGGGGACTATGTGGGTGCATTCAGATGAGTGTGCATGTGTGGTATGCAGCACTGCACATGCAGACATTTCCCATGCTGCTAATTTGCAACCCAGAGGGTGATTTTGACACCAAGAGATCCCAGCATTAAAAAAACTCACACTAGAAAAAAGCGAACCGGCACATGTGGCAGCAGTGTGCGCCACCCAAAACTGGAGCCTGGGCGGCTGGAGCCACACTCCAGCTGCCGGTCAGGCTCCCTGCTGCCAGATCACTGCCCAAGACCCCAGGTAAGGCTGCTGGGGCCAACCCAGGTGCTGACCCCAGCCTTCCCTATCCCACCCAGGGCAACTTGCCATGTGCCAGAGCGCATGTGTGTAGGCATTCCCCAGGATCAAGCAGCAGCGGCATATATTGTGCTGCTGCTATTTGTCCCCAGGGAAACACATGTGTGCATTCATCTGGACGCACCCTGTGAGCTGGTTCCCTCGTATATACTTTATTACCAGAGATGTGATCCCTAGATTACATGAAAAATTAAATCTTATGCTTTGAGAGTCACAGAGCAAGCAAGCTACATGCTGTCTGCTCATTTAGGACTGGACATCTGTCTGCTGTGTCAACTGTGAGAGCAAAATCCATTCCAATGCATTTCCATGGGCAGTTCCATATGTCTTCTGTGGGATCACACAAGACAGCACCAGGAGCCTCACAACAGCGTAGAGTTTCCAGCATCCAAAGAGCCCAGCACCCAAAAGAGCCCCTTTCACCAATAGATTCATGGTCACGTCCCTGAAACCAGGTATTAGGCTAATAAAGGTTTAGCATGATATGTAATGTCAACAGCCATAAATAGCAAACCCCTGCTCTCTGTCTGCAGGATTCAGCAGCTTGAGGAGCTGGCTGCCAACTCTGAAATATAAATAGCCCCATGCACAACATGCGCATTAGGCCTGTTTAAAAAAAAGCAGGGATGGAAAGCCCTAAAACCTAATGCTAAATCTAGGAACAAGAGCAAATGACAGGGGGGGAGGCATCTTTTTCCCTCCTTTCATGAGGCTGAAGTATTTTGCCGCATAATCCCAATCTACTCTGATCTTCATTTAGGACTCTGTACTGGATGCAGGATATTATTTGTCCTATTCATTAATAAATGTACATTGCTGATGAAATTCTCTCTGTTTACAATGTGTCATTCACGAATAACAAGCTTTTAGTAGGTCTAAATTAGCTCTGAAAAAGGAACTGGGAAGAAGGAAGCAGGAATAAGGAACCAACTTCAGTCTCATCCTCCTTTCCCCCCTCCGGTTTCACCCCACCTCCTCGCTGAATACTAGAAAGCCTCCCAGAAAAGAATAAGAAGCCACCCATGCTTTCCCCCCACAACACTTTAAATAAAAGGTTAGGCTTGTAATTATAGTTCATTTGGGGTAATTCCTAATTAGCCGGGAGCTTTGATGAGAGAAGGCAGAAGTAGCAATTTTCATGCTCAGTAGCAGGGCCCTATTATTTGAAGTCCTAGTGACACTGACGGCGGGGAATAGCCTCAGCAGGGCAGGGAAAGAAACCTCCCGGAGCACAAGGCAGAGGGGATCCAGCCAGCCGGGCCATTTCCACACACGCCTGCTTCGTTTCTGCCCTGCCCGCAAACACCTCCGAGGGGAGGGGAGGGGGGTCCCCGCGGTTCAGTCAGGAGGAGGTCGCTTCCTCGACTCGGAGGAGGGAAGGGACCTCAGAGGAAGGCACGCAGCTCCGCGCAGGACCCCCGGAGACACCCCACAGACCCTCCCAGCCCGGGCAGTGATGGCCGCGTGTGCAAGGACGGAGCCCCCGGTCCCGGCGGCGGGCGGCGGGCGGCGTGCCCCGATCACTACTCACCGCGGCGGCGGCGGAGGGTCCGGGCGGCTTCACCTGGGCGCGCGGCGGCAGGTTG